ATGTTGTTTTTGTGTCTTAAATCCACCTTATATCACCTACCAACTGAGCCATTATTATTATTAATGTTGTTATTTTATACAATGATTTTTTTTTTATTTTTTGGCATATAGACTACTATTTCTGGTCACTGCTGTGGCTTGTATCTCCTTATGTCCTTGTTCGGTTTCCTCCTTCCTGAAGTACTTGTCTATCTCTGTCCTATTCCCTCCCCTCTCCCTGTCCGGGGACTGAAACTCGGACCAGCACACTAACAAGTGTGGTGCCTCTAAGCTGCACCCCACCTATGAAACCTATCCCCTAACCGTTCCTTCAGTTATGTCTGTGACTCTGATGTTGCCTGAAATCATTTTCATTTCTCACTCATATACATACTGTAGTACAATTAGGTTTCTAAAGTGCCAGTTATGTTTTCTCTTTACTGTCTCGTGTTGAGATGTGCAGCCAGTGCAATGGCTGTGTTCTGTGCTTATTCTGGCTTTACTTCTCTGATTGTTTAATGATTTTTTTTTTGGTGTTCTGCAGTCTATTTATGGACTTATTTTTCATTTTTTTCTATCAGAAGCCATTGTTCCTCCTACACTGAAGGACTGCGTGATTTTTCAGTTAATTCTACCAGCGTCCCGTCCATTTTAATCTCAGCACTGCCTGCCTCTGGTCTTTCCGTCTCTCTTCCTAGGAGGTATTCATTGGAGCTCGTCCTTGTGTGTCTCACAACCTCTGTTTTATGTTTTCCATCTCTTTCTGGGCTGTGTTCTAAGTAATTTCTTTAGATCTGTTTTTAAGATTTACTAATTCTTTTCTCCGATGTGTTTCGTCTGCTATTTATAATTTCCATAACAATATTTGCCACTATTTATAGGCTTTACTTTTTTACTTATGTCTTAAAGCCCTTCCTATATGTTTTGAGTTGTGTAAACATATATATTTTACATCTCCATTTGTGTTTTTTCCTATGAGCTTATGTTCTTGGGGTCCTAATGCTCATTTTTAATTTGTGATAGATCTGCTCCATATTTTTATAATCTTTTTACTTTATGCTCATCTTACTGAGACCTGATTTTCTGTGGAAATCCTGTGGAACTAGGACAGGGAATGTGGCCGTCTACACCAGCTATGCCTTTTCTTTGGCCGGCCACCCTTGGGGTGTCTCCAGCCAGGGCCAGTTTCTGTGTCAATCCAGTTCAGGACTCCTGGACTCCAAGTTTGAGTGATTCGCAAGCCCAGCATTTCCAGTCTTCTCCCAGCAGAGTCAAAAGCTTTCTTGCCTTCTCACCGTCGGGGTGGGAAGATTTTTTTTTTAGTCCAGCCCATCTTCTTCACTCTCCTGCTAGAACCTCCTGTCTGTGGCCAAACTCAGGCAGAAGCCAGCTAGAATGGGAGCCTAGCGAAATCAGCTGCAGGCTCCATCCCCTTGCAGAACAGAAAGGAGAAAGGTAAGTGACGGATCTGGGGACAGGGAGGCCCAGGATGCACACGACGGTCACCACTTAGCAGGTACGGTCAGAGCTTGGTGCGCAGTGTGTTGTGACTGTCAGACAGGGCCTGAGCGCTGGCAAAGGGCTGGGGGAGCCAGCTGTACGGAGCAAGGACAGGAGGAGTTGCGTTACGGATGTGGTAAAGTACAGATCTCAGTTCCGTCACAGAGTGCTATTTGGGTCAAATTTCAGGTGTTCAGTAGTCACCTGTCGCCAGTGCTACTCTGTTGGGCAGGACAGGTATTGAGGGTAGCAAGGGGGTTCACTCTATCCATAAACCCTAATTCTCCACCAAAACATTTTACTCTCCCTTCCCTCAAAAAAGGGGTCTGTGGCAAGTAAACCTTAGCAACTCTGGGTTTGTCTCTTGAGGTCAGGGCATTTCAGACCCTGACAGGCCAGTGTGTGTCGTGGCCCAACAAGAGCAGTACACAGTCCACATGGTCCAGGTTTTCCTTACAGGACAAGAACGTCCTAGCCCACTCTGGTACTGGCTGATTTGCAGGGAGGAGAGAGCCTGATGGCGCGCAGAGGAGATGCTCAGAAAGCGTCCTAAGGCTGAGGGAGGAAAGATTCAGGCCAGCAGAGTAGCAGCTTAGCTGAGGAGCCGCGCTGTGGGCAGCGGAGTGGCCACAGCCCAAGTGAGCACCCTGCACGTGGCAACACTGAGGTCCTGCCACCTTCCTGCGTGCTGGGTCCTCCCAGCGGTGGGACAGAGCGGAGTGTCCAGTCTTGGAGAAGTGAGGAGGAGAGTTAGCGGGGCTTGGCCGGGAGGGTGGGCCAGTGAGACGAGAGAGGGTGCTGAGGAGCGAGCTGCCTTGAAGCAAGGGTCTTGTGTGTATTTTAAATGTAGGATGGGAAGGACATTGAACCCATGCTGGACTCAGCGGAGAGCAGCATCAACTGAAAAGAGCAGTGTGAAAGAAGGGGCGGTCATGGAGGAGCGGGCCAGGTAGGGACGGTGGCTGTGGAGATAGGGCTGCCAGTACTGGCCGGGAGATGAGCGTAGGAAGAAATGAGCAGAGAGGTGCAGGACACCGGAGAGAGGGCCGAGGGCAGAAGTTAGGAGCCGTGATAATGAAGCGCTGGTCCCTGCAGACAAGAGTTGTCTCCACCCATCAGTAACGCTTTGGAAATCACTGAGAACCTGGAGCTTTCCCTGGGTCCCAAGCCATTAATCCACACGGAGAGGCCAGTGTTCCTGTTCCCGAGGTGGAGTGTAAACCACTGTCACCCAAAATGTGAGAGGAGCAGCCCCGGCTCCACGGCGCACGGCCTACAAGATGGTACCCAGGCCGGCGCATCGTAATGATTATATTTACAGTAATGACTTAGAAGAAACAGTAACAGCCACATTTAACTTCAAACGAGTACATTTAGAGAAAATACCAAGTGATAGTAGCAGTGGCACTGTCAGAAATCTTGGACACAGAGCATGAATGAGTGGAGTTTTCGGAGCGCCGAGAGGTGGGCTGACCTCAGAAACCGTCCCTTTGCGTCCATCACCACCTGGCTGTGACAGCACCGCCAGTGTCGTCGGCAGCTCCGTTTTGCCAGCTGTCCAGACCTTTGCTGTGCTCACTGCACAGCAGCCCAAACAAATGTCCCTGTGAAGCGTCCCGATTTGCCACACAGCGGAGTGCAGTGCAGACCCCACAGAGCTCGGCCCCTTGGAACTCAGCGGCCTTATTATGAGCTCTTCTTGGTACTGCCACACGCACTCTTCCAATCCGTCCTTTCCACCCTGACAGCCATGTTTCAGAGCTGTTGTCCGCATCTGCAGAAAATGAAAAGTCTGTCTTCAGTGAGGTGATCTGTAATCCAAGGTCTGGACAAATATTAATGGAGATACAAAGGGAGTCAGAAAACTTTTAAGATCTGGTCTTGGCTTTGCTCTGTGGCCCCCTTTGTCTGACTGTGACCGTCTGATCTGTCTCGGCGCCCCTCATTCCCAAGCCCTGCGCTAGGACACATCTCTGCTCCCTTCCTGATGGCCTCCGGGACAACAAGGGCTTCATTTGCCTTCCTCTCTCCCGACCCTCTGAAGTGTGCCGCTGGCTGCCTGGTGGAACAGCTTCCCAGGTGCTGTTGAAAAGTTCACCTGAGCAAAGACACACAAAACAAATCAAAAACAACTGACAAATCAAGTAGCTACTAGAACAGATCCTGAGACTTCCAACATTGTGATCTGATAGCATTTATAGAAAAAATAAAAGGCATAGAAAACAGTTTCATTGGCTACAATTTAGTCACCCAAATGATCATTGGGTGGAGCTAGTTAATTGGTTGGAGCTTAGTTGGTTAATTGGCTACAGGCCCTTCTGCAATCAACCAAAACTCAGTCTGTGATTAAATTCTGTATCGGTTTGTCTGTCCAAACCCGTGGCCTCCCACAAATTTTATTTCACACACCTGCGTGTTTTTGCTTTTGCCTGAGGAGTTCCTGAGGCATTCCCCACCCCGCAGTGCATCAGGAGGCCCTTGCCTCCTGAGTGACTCTGGGATGTGTTGCTTCACAGCGTGACATCTGGCTCAGCTCCGATGTGCTGTGTGAGGAAGGAGAGCCAGAGGGAGCGCACTGCCCTCGCCCTGATGCCAGGTGCTGTGACTCCTCCAAGCCACTTGTGATGGGGCGCCTGCACTGTACCCCAGACTGGGGGTTCCTCATCCACTGTGTTAAAGCAGCGATCTTGTCGGGAATTGCTGGGCCCTGGGAATTTTAGGTTCTCTAACCTCAGAAACTTTCCTTGAGAAATCCAGACATGTTTCTTAAATGTTTTTAAATAGTAACTCAAAGTAAGAATACATTTTGGTCCCCAAATACACACACAGAGTGGTACCTTGGTTCACAAACGTAATTCATCTTAGAATTTGGGGGAATATAGCCACATTTATGTTTGTGAGGGGAAGACAGCTGTGGTTGTTTGTCACCTGATGTGGAGTTTGTGAACAGAAGCTTTGTTGAACACTTTTGTTTGAGAACCAAATAGCTTCCAAACAGAAGTGTTCCTGAGCCAAGGCATTACTGTGTGCGTGTGTGTGTGTGTGTGTAGCCAAGAACTTTCACAATACTTACCAAAGCTGTGCCGACAATACACTATTTTTTTAATGCTGAGCTTGACCAGCATTTTAAAAAACTAAATGGATAGTGACCCACTGTTGGCTCAAGATCTGCAGTTTGGAAAACACTGGCCTCAAGTGTTTGATTCATTGAATCATTTCAGTAAATTAAAAAATGTCTCGAGGTGGTGTCTGCCAGCTGAGCTCAGGTGCTGTCTGTGGAGCCGGTTCTGAAAGTCCTTAGGCTGCCGTGGCCACTCTGAAGACCACAGCAGCGCACTGAGCAGCGCACTGACATGTCTCAGGCCAGCGGCCCACGCTCCTGTGGCGCCTGCAGCGGGCCATGGGCCCGGAGAGTGGTGCTCTCTCGAAGCAGCATTTGTCAGCCCAGTGCATCTGCTGATCGATGTCTTCTCTGCAGAAACAACTACAATAATTGTAAGCTGTACCCCGTCTTTCCACAGGGTGCGCTGATCTCCAAGCCCTGGACACGATGCAGCCAGCTGAGAGGAAGAGACAGGGCTACATCCACGAGCTGATCCAGACGGAGGAGCGGTACGTGGATGACCTGCAGCTGGTCATCGAGGTGAGCGCCCCACGGCGGCCAGCACCTCCGGGCTCTCACACCCGGAGCGGAAGTGCGGCCTCACTTTTTCCTGTTTCGTCTCTGGAGCTGGGGCTTGAACCCTGCTTCACCTCCAGGTAGGCATCGCCCCTGGGGTGCGGATCCCAGCAGCCCACGGCTTCAGATCGCTGTCTGCAGTGTTGATGCGGGAGGAGCGGGCAGGGCGTGGGCTCTGTTCCCCCGCCGCTGGGCTCCCTAACGCGCAGAGAACCAGCAGACATGGAGATGCCTGAGTTGTTTGTGGGGCCCAGCAAAGAGGGACAGGGGTACGGAGTATGTGTAGAGGCCTCAACCAGACTGCACCTCACATTTTTGCCTCGCTGTATTTACTCGGCTGTTTTGACGTCTGGCATTTTCACCCTGTCATTTGCACAGGAATTATAAAGCAGTAGAAGTATTCACCTAATGTTTGTGTCACTTTAGAAAACCTACAAGGGGGCTGAGGATTTGGCTCAGTGGCACCGTGCCTGCCTGGCAAGCACAAGGTCCTGAGTTTGAACCCCGGTACCAAAAAAAGAAATCTACAAGGAGCAAATTGTAAAACATTTTCCAAACAAATGCTCCATATTTAGTTTCTGCTTGTTGTGACCAGTGGCTTCTACACTGGTGACGGCCGTCTGTTGAGAGCAGCTCCTTCAGGTGGATTCTGTTTGAGTGAACAAAGGAAGACCGTATTTTTCTTTGGTTTCCACGGCTCTTGGTTCCCAGTAAATGTGTGGAGTTCCTCAAGTGAGAAGAGCCGTTAAGTAAGAAAGCAGCTGAGGAGGACAAGGGTCTCTGCCCGGGCCACCTGGCTGTGGCCTTGCTGGCGGAGGGGAGCAGAGGCCTGGCCTGGGTGCCTGGGTGTACAGAGCGCACCTGCTCCACCACCCCCTGCCCTGCGCCTCCCATCTGGGGACCCCCTCTGCCCCTGGCCCATGAGCTCTGTGAGAGCAGCACCACCAGCCTGGCCCTCTGCCGTCCTGAGTGGACTGGATGCGGTGTCCGCATGCCTCTGACCAGAACCACCGGCCGAGGGCATCAGACCCATCGCTGGTCAGAGCCGTCTCTGGGTGGGGATGGCCGTGGAGGGCTCTGGCTGGAGTTCAGAAGGTGAGAGACAGGTGCTCGCCCACCCTGGGCCCCGCCTCACGCCTGGGGCCTTGGTTCTTCCCACTCTGTTCCTTGTGGGAAGCGGTAGGGGCGGGAAGCTGTGTCGGGATCAGGGTTTAGGGGAAGAGCACGGATGTGGTGACGGCTGCCGTCTCGGTGTGAGTTCCCGGGGCCCAGCCTCCCCTGCCCTCGCTCCCCTCCCTGACCCAGCACAAGGTGCCGCGTAGAAGAAAGAAATAGGTGGCATAAACAGTGCGTACGGAGGAGCTGACAGCCAGCCGCGCCCTGCCTCCGTGGCAGCCCTGAGCAGCTGGGCTCTCCGGGGCCTGCTCTCAGGGGGTGCCACAGTGCCCCCTTCAGAGGGAGCGCCCGCCTCTGCGGAAACCGGGCTCCACCTGCAGCTCAGCCCAGCACGCATCGGTGTGAGGAGCAGAGTGCAGGGATGAGGTGAACGGGAAGGCGCCGGTGCCCCGGTTCGAGGGCCCGCTGGAGATGAGCACAGTGGGGCGCGGTGGGGCTGGGGCCCCCGAGGGCCGCCCCGGCTGAAGATCTGCCAGTCAAGCTCCGGAAGCGGAGGGGCGGAGCGGGCACAGAGGGCCGAGGGACCTGCGAGTCGTCCCTTGTGGCTGGCAGGTCAGGTGCCCGGGGAAGCCGGTGGGGTCAGCGGGGGACATCTCAGCTGTAGACCTCAGGGAGCTCAGATCTGCTGCTGCTGCCACTGGGGACCGTAGACAGCTTCATCAGGGAGCACTGTGTCCATCCTGGGTACTTTGGAAAGATCGCGTAAGAGAAGAGTTGTTCCAGAAAGTGGCCGTATTTCCTTGAGGCTTTTAAAGTCACTCCTGGGGTCGTGTTATGTGGTGGAGACTTGGACTTAGAATCAAAGGGAGCGGTGTTGGGCTTTGTGACTCTGTAGACTCCGCAGCCTCTATCTTCAGGCGTCCTTGAGCTTCAGCACATTGCTGGTGAAGCTACGGAAGGATGCTGTGCGCACACAGGCGTCTGCTGTCTGTACACGCAGGGATGTGGACAGAGCATCGTGATTCCCCTGCACCCGCCAGCCTCTCCTTCCGCCTCTGCTCGAGGTCATCCCAGGGCAGCGGAAGTCACCGCTGGATTTCTCACAGACTGTCCAGGAACTCTGGGTCCTCAGCCTGGCTGGAGTCCGGCCTCCTCATCTTGGGTGCTTTGTGGCCGGGCCATTCAGCCTTCTTGGTGTCCCTCTGGGACGGGGCAGAGAAGCCCCTCTTCAGCAGGAGAAAGAATCCATCCTGATCAGAGTTCAGACAGCAGAACAGTAGGAAATTGTGCAGCCTCAAATGTACAGTCCTAATTATGCTTTTTTAGAAGTACCGTGACCTCGAGAGTTTGAATGTATGAAAACACTGATTTAGACGATGCCTAGGGTGTGTGTCCTCACTGCCCCTAATATATTTCTCCTCTGTTTTGAACCTAGGTTTTTCAGAAGCGGATGGCGGAGTCAGGCTTTCTCACAGAAGGAGAAATGGCCTTGATCTTCGTTAACTGGAAAGAGCTCATCATGTCCAACACAAAGCTGCTGAAGTGAGTTCCGGTCAACACAGCTGTTTTCAGCCCCCTCAGGGTTTCATTCTAATCTCACTTTGCGAAATGCTCCATAACCACAAAACACATCATTATTGAGAAAAATAAGGAACTAGAACAAAGAAAATAATTAAGCCAAGACAAAATTAAATCATCAAACGAGCAATATACTATGTGTGGCTCTAAGACCTGTGATTCTAAGACATACGGCTCTGGCAGGAGGAGCCTCAGCTCAGGGCCAAGCCCTACTGTCCAGTCTGGCAGCCACTAGCCCCATGTGAAGTCCCGAGCTCGAGTCCCTTTCTGTCCCTCATCCTGTGAGGACAGATGCCCCGGCCCGGATGGGCAGTCCCGGCCTGACGGTGCCCCTCTGCCTGTGCCCAGCCTCTGTGGCTACTGTGCCCTTTTCTTCCCTCACACACTACGGGAATTTCCTTCTTCTTGGTTCAATTGCATTGGTTAGAATTTCTCAGAAGAAACTGCTTTCCGAGGTTAAAATGAAGCCAAACCAGTTGTGAAGGCCAACGACAGTCGTGTGCGTAGGCTTCATTTTCTTTTTCTTCTTTGCTAGCATTTTCCTCAGCTTGGCCGGGCCAGCAGAGCTTTGGGCCTGCTGTCTCCTTTTCCTCCCGGCCTTCCCCTCCCAGGGTGGTGTCGTCTCCACTGGTCACCCTGGCACTCATCCTTTAATTGCCGAGGACTTTGGCCGAGAAACAGGCGGGAATGTGTTGTCCGCAGGGCCTTGCGGGTCCGGAAGAAGACCGGGGGAGAGAAGATGCCAGTGCAGATGATCGGGGACATCCTGGCGGCCGGACTGTCCCACATGCAGGCTTACATCAGGTTCTGCAGCTGCCAGCTGAACGGGGCAGCTTTGCTACAGCAGAAGACGGATGAAGACGCGGAATTCAAAGACTTTTTAAAGGTAACCGCACTCTGGGCCCTGCAGGTGTCTGCAGGAAGAGCAGGCAGGCGGCTGCTGGGCCCGAGCAGCAGCTTCCCCGCTGTGAGGCAGTCTCAGCAGCAGCAGCGGAGACAGCTGCCCCTGGCCGTGTCCAGGGAAAATGTAAACGTGGCAGAGGGTCTCGGTAGCATGATGCTGCCTCTTGACTCACTTTTCATGGCACTGAGGCTGTGATTTCTCCCGTCGAACAGCAGGAGTGGCGGGTGTCTGTTTGGTTGACAGGGTCTCACTGTGTCATTCAGGCTGGCCTTGAACTGTGGCGCAGCCCAGGCTGGCCTCAGACTTAAGGACCATCCTCCGGCCTCAGCCTCCTGAGGGCTGACGTTACAGACGTGCACCACTGTTAAGCAGACTTTACCTGCTACTTTAACTTCTCAGAGAAACATTCAGAATGTCACTTTCTTCATTTTGTAAATTGTATTTATTTAATAACCATGGTAGTCCAGAAAGAAGATAGCTTGCTTCAGTGGATAAAATGTAGCAGGGTAGGATAATTCATAAAGTGCCTATCTGATCCTGTGCGAACACCAGAAGTACACTCTGGTATCATCGAGGCTCCCAGAAACCGAAGCAAAAAGGGTCTGTTCCACAAAGTCATAGTCAGAGATGAAACAAGAGAAATAAAGCTAGAACTGTACGCGGAAAGGACACTGCAAATGAGTTTGTAATGAACACTGACTCCCTTACAACAGTACAGCAGCGAGCTTCCCACAGCTGGTTACTGGGCTGGTGGTCACATTTGGAGAAGTCGTTTTCATTCGGTTGCTCAGCAATACAGACTGGTTGTTTTGGGTGTTTTTGTACCAGGGTTCCAACTGAGGACCTTGCGCTTGCCAGGCAGGCAGCAGCACCACTGAGCTAAGTCCCCTGCCCATAGAGACTGTTATACACATGTTAGAAGGGTGAGAGAAGTGAAAGTAAAATCCACATTCCTATATGCTTCTTTTCTTTGATGAACTATTGTGACCATTTGCACAATGATATCAGTCTCTTAAGGTGATGCATAATTTAATATTGTCATTATTAAATATGGGAAAAATAATTCAGCATAAGGTATAAGATGTTCAGACAGAATAAAAATTCCAAAAGGAAAATAGAGAAGACAATAAAGTTAAAAGCACAAATGATACCAAAATATCCAAGGACTAGATGGAAAAAATATAACTGGAGTAAAAGAAATAGAAAACAACACAAACAAGTAATAATAAGAATGGATGTACAGATATCTCTTCCAGCTTATATAATTCCAAAATGCATACTAATCAACATAAAAGCATTAACAAAAATTATAATTTTCTACCAAAATTTGAAAACTGGTTCTTGGTTCCTGATTCCTGAAAGCTGGTTTCATAAGAATAAAAAATCTGAAAATACTGTTAACTGAGGAGGTTGGGAAAATTATTTCAGAGGAGTTGAATTCGTCTGATGGATAGAATGGTGAATTATTTCAATTATAAAGGAATAGATTATTCCAAATTACATCATTGTTACAAATCACAGGAAAAAATGCAACAACCATTCATTCATTCAACTGTTCATTCTACAGGGCAACAATAGCGCTGACCCTAGTGCCTGTTTCTGAATTTGTATTTAACCATAAAAAGTTTTAAGTTAAATATAAAGTTGTTAGACTCAATTAACATACACTTCACATAATTGAGCACTGTCCCCGGCTACTAGGAGAGGATACTTGCTTACAACAAGGCAGCTGCTCAAGCTGCCTGGCTCCAGGGGCTGGGTGAGCAGAATTACCCACACACCCAGGGCCAAGCTAATCGGCAGTGCTTTCAGAGAGCAGCACATACTGAGCATTCAGCACACGGTCAGTGTGCTTTTCCTTGTGAGGACCTTGGATGCACAGGGGTCCAGGACGAGGCATGGAGGCCGTGACCTTCAGGGGTGAGAAGTGTGGCAGGTGAGATTGCCTAGAAACAAACCAGAAGAAATTCAGAAACTACAATCCTAGAAACCAAACGTGATCCAAATATTTAGGTGAATTCAGGATTAGTAGCCTTCATGTTTTAAAATGATTGATAATAGAATTTAAAATAAGATAAATAGGGGCTGGGATTTATCTCAGTGGTGCTGCTGCCTGCCTTGCAAGCGCAAGGTCCCAAGGTACCAAAATAATAAATAAATAAAATAATTTGTCATATAAGACATTGACCATTTATTTTTTAATTCTCTAAGTGACACTGTAACTTAGATGTCAACATCATTATAATTACAGCAATAATAAAAATAATAATGTTTACAGTCTCATAATGAAAAGCAAAGTGTTAGTTACATCAAAAGGCAAAATCTAGGAATAAGGCTCAATGTAGAGCACTTGCTTAGCGGGCACAAGGCCCTGTTCAGTCCCGGTACCACAAGAAAAAAGGAGGTGGGGGCGCAAAATCTAGCAATAACCAGTATCCCAAAGTGATACTTCTAAAACCTCACAGAGGATAAAGGTGAAAGTTCAGAGATGCTTGTTACAGCAGCATAGAGATCAACACAGATACAGATCTATCCAGAAACAACAGGAGGGGCAGTTTTACCGTCCAAGATAGGGAAATGATGAAGTAAACTGTAGTACATGCATTTTTTATTCATTAATTAAATTGGTACATTTTAGGTGTACATTAGGATCACATTCATCATTGGGAATTTGAACCTGTACATGATGTGTCTTGGTTCTTATTTTTTCCCATTCCCTTTCCCTCCCTCCAAACTCTTCCCTATTTACAAAAGCCTTACTTCCCTTTTCTTCCTTCTTTTTTTATTTTTCTTTCCCTTCTTTCCTCCCCCCATCCCCACCCAGTTCCCCTTCCCCTTGGACCATTTTCCTATTTCACAATAACTATTACAAATTTTGGTTCTCGTTTACACTTTCAGTGTCTCACACCAGAGAAACCATCCGGTATTTACACACGTGTGTCCTGTTTATCTCACTTAAGCGTATGGCCTCAAGGTGCATCCATTTAGCTAGAACTGTCTCTAGTCTGTCTTAGTTCCTGCATTCTCAGCCGCGAAATGTCGCCACCCTAGAGTACCAGCTCCTCTTGAGGTGCTGCTAGCACTAGGAGTAGAAGCACATGAGATACAGTCATTGACCTTGAGCATTCGGGCTGATCGGATGGAGACACCTAAACCACGGTGCTCTTTCCTGAGTTACTCGGGGCTGGTGTGGTGCCTGCTAACAGCAGCCAGAGAAGGTCAGGGAAAGGAGGGAAGGTGTCCAAGGCCAGAACCTGGCCAAGGTGGGAGCACAAGCTGAACCTGAGATGGGTCACTGGGCCACACGAAGAAAGGGCAGCGGGACGGCACTGGCAAAGGCACATTTGTTACCTGGCTCACGCAGGTGCTCTAAAAATGGCAGCAATTGTTTCTAATGAAGTAGAGACAGGGAAATGGCTTTGGGACCTCAGGTAAGGAGGTGCATCACATGGCCAGGGTGGAGCTCGGAGAACATCTGGGTGTCAGCCGTGGGCATCAAGCAGCAGCTGCCTTCCAGTGGGCGGGTGGAGGAGACCCAGAAAGTCCATGAGGTGGGGAGGCAGCGGGGGAGCGCTGCGCAAGGCCAGCCACGCAGGCCACCTAGTGTGTGAGGACAGCCGCCAAGCAGCTGCTGGGCTTGGCAGTGAGCAGAAGGACTCCTGCGGTTAACCTGACGGTGTGTCATTCTGGAACTTGAGTTAAAAGAAATTTGGACTCTAAAAAGTGTGTGGCCTGCGCTTCCACTGCTCTGATGAGGGCCAGGGTTTTCTCACAGGCCTCTCCGCTGTTTCACAGAAGCTGGCGTCGGACCCTCGATGTAAAGGGATGCCCCTGTCCAGCTTCCTGCTGAAGCCCATGCAGAGGATCACCCGCTACCCACTGCTCATCAGAAGTGTGAGTGCCCCAGCCGGCCGCTGCTCCCGCTAGGAACTGGGCCCTGAGTCCCACAGCGGCCAAGAGCTGAGGGAGCACCTTGTGCCCCAGAGCCCCACAGACCAGGCTTCTCTGTGTGTGTGTGTGTGTGTGTAAACGTGCAAAGGAACGTGTGTGCGTGCAGGGTTGAAGCCTTCACTTGGGAAAATAAAGGAGGCATCTGATGGCACTTGGGTCACCTGCCACGCTGCTTCCCAGAAACTCCCCAGGACACACTGCCACAGCACATTTGTTTGCACGAGGTCATGGCCCCCGAGGTGTGCCGCTGTGGAAGCTGTCTGGACCCCAGAGATAGTGCGGAGTGCCCCAGTAGCACAGCTTAGCTGTCTGTCTGCTGAGATCCGAATTCATGTGGCCCCGGAGCGCCTGTACCCAGACGTCCCGAGTCTCGGGCTCAGCGTGTCCTCACCACGCTCAGGACTCCAGCTCTCCCCAAGTCAAGATTCTGTCTTCCAACATAAGCCGTGTGGGCATCTTAAGGCAGTATACAGATCATTATTCCACCAATTACTGATAAAACTTACAGGGAAAAACAGCAGGAATAATGCAAGACTACTGAATATTCCTTTTTGATTTGTAAGCTACGTGAACTCAGCGTAGACCCCATGTTATAGCTGCCTGTGCAGACTGAGCCACTAATACAGACCCTGGCCCTTCACTGACACATCTGGGGCACACATGTTGCAGAATTTAGACTGTAATTTAAGTACCAGATATTTATGACACCCAAGTAAAACCTGGGGCAGCACTTTTCACCAAATATTGACCCACCACATCCCTACAGTGACATGTGAGTAATCACTGAAAGTAGAACAAATACCGTTCAGGTCAGGCTTGCCACCAAATGAGCAATGCGTAAAAACTTGAGGCTTTCAGGCTTTGTTGCATCTGCATTGTAAACAGGACTGTGTAGCTGTGAGGCTATAGCACAAAAGCCCAGACAGAGGGACTGCACAAGCCTGCGTTCTGGCCTCTCCCTGTAGCATTAGCACTTTGGAGTTGCTTCAGAATGAACTAAATGCATGTCACCTGGATGCTAAGGGTGTGACTTTACTGCATGTCGTGTGGCCAAGGAGTCATTGCTTTCATCAGGATTTTCACAAGGATGGGGATGCCCACTTTGCCGTTCAGCCAACTAACACACTTGTCACAGATGCGGCCAGTCTGTACTGAAGGGCTCGCGCTGAAGGCCGGTGCCTTCAGTGGCTGGGGGGAACAGAGGCACCCTCTGCGGTAAGGCTGATCCCCAGGCCCCAGGGAGAGAGCAGCAGATCCGCACACAGGTGTGAGTGGTCAGTAAGCACAGGTGGCTGGGGTGGGCTGAAAGGGGAGGCGCTCCCTTGTGATGCCGTGCTGTCCCCCAGATTCTGGAGAACACCCTGGAGAGTCACGTGGACCTCTCCTCCCTGAAGCTGGCCCTGGAGCGGGCAGAGGAGCTCTGCTCCCAAGTGAACGAAGGAGTTCGGGAAAAGGAGAATTCAGACCGACTGGAGTGGGTCCAGGCACACGTGCAGTGTGAAGGCCTTGCAGAGGTGAGGCTGTGCTGACCCGGGCAGGCCCCGGCTTCACACACACACACACACACATGCATGCACACGTGTGCATGGTCCACACCTCTCTGTGCTCGCTTCTGGTCCTGCCCTCCACAGACGCCCCTTGGAGTGTCACCCTCCTGGCTGGTAAGAGAGACAGCTGGGGTTTTTGTCTTGAATTTTTTAGTCAGTGTCTGTGGATGGTAGTATTATTTCCACCGGGCCACCCAGAACCAGGAGACTTGATTCCCACCACTGTCCCACCACCGAGATTTGCGGTGTGGCCCACAGGCCCGGGCCTGGCCTCTCGGTACTGGGGGGTTGGTGCTGCTGGGACTTACAAGGTGGCATTTTCTTTCTCCTGCAGCAACTGATTTTCAACTCCCTCACCAACTGCCTGGGGCCCCGGAAGCTCTTGCACAGTGGGAAATTATACAAGACCAAGAGCAATAAGGAGCTGCACGGATTTCTCTTCAATGACTTCCTGCTTCTCACCTACATGGTTAAGCAGTTTGCCGTTTCCTCTGGCTCGGAGAAGCTTTTCAGCTCCAAGTCCAACGCGCAGTTCAGAATGTACAAAACGGTGAGTGCTGCGGCCCGTGGCCTGTCCCCTCCCGGACCGGCCCTGTCCCCTGGCTGTGCTTCCTGAACCCTTCCGGAGCGCCCCAGGGCGCAGTCAGGACACCAGGCCCACGCCCACCTCTGCCGAGGGGAGACCTCAGACCCAGCCCCTCCTGGCCCGGATTCTTTCAGCCCATTTTCCTGAACGAAGTCTTGGTGAAGCTGCCCACAGACCCTTCCAGCGACGAGCCCGTCTTCCATATCTCTCACATCGACCGGGTCTACACCCTGCGGACGGACAACATCAACGAGAGGTCAGTCCGCCCAGCTCCCCCGTGGATGCGGGTGGCAGCCACAGCCCTGCGGGGTGCGGATCCCTAGCGCACCCCAGCACTTGCTCCCTGGCCCATGGTGGGTCCCCCTGTGTGTTAGGCGCATCTGGTGGTCGGGAGCCGGGTTAGGGCCGCATTCGCAGTCCAGGCCCGCGCTGGACCGAACGCTGGTGTCCGACCCGAGCAGTCCGCCCAGCTCCCCCGTGGATGCGGGTGGCAGCCACAGCCCTGCGGGGTGCGGATCCCTAGCGCACCCCAGCACTTGCTCCCTGGCCCATGGTGGGTCCCCCTGTGTGTTAGGCGCATCTGGTGGTCGGGAGCCGGGTTAGGGCCGCATTCGCAGTCCAGGCCCGCGCTGGACCGAACGCTGGTGTCCGACCCGAGACCCGAG